ATTGTATACATCAGTATTGTAGATTTGTCATATTTGATGGACGGAGCATATTATTACTTATGCGCTTTACTCCAGTAAAACTGGAGTAAAACTGGATCCTAATCTCAGGCCGGGTTGCAAGAAATCTATTGGTTTTAGAACTGTAGAGTTAGGTTCTTCATAAAGAATTGTTAATGGCCTAGAATTGATAACCGCTTCAACTTCACAAATTAGGGTTGTAAACTCTTTCTGGCACAATATACGTCTTCCTATAGTCTTACATTAACAATTCTTTACTAACCCCACCATTCTTTCTCAGAAACCTCCCCTCCACGGAGCATATTCTGTTATAAATCGCCAGTAAATATTTTCATTGGAACAATAATTTAAACAATCTTCATCCGAATAGATATTTGACCAAACCTGGTCTAAGCCCCTTTTGGCTAATTTAAAGGTAGTGGCGTTATCATTTATAATTTTTTCAGGCTTTCCTCGTTGGCTACAAATCGCTTAAAAGCCTTTAAAAAGGTTTAAATACTTAAGTTAGTTACTACCTCTAAATGTATGGCGCGTGTTGTAATACACGTGAAAAGACAAACCCATGTTTTCACTCTTTCATTCGTAAGATCCTTTCTAATGCTTATTGGACCAAAGTAATCTGAGCCTATTATCTGAAACGGATTTGTCCTATTGCTACGAAAACTTGGGAGCGGCGGCATTGGAGGTAGTTTATAGGGCTCTACCTGACATCTTTTGCAAACTAGGCACTTTTTAATAATTTTTCTTACTAATAATCTCCCTTTAGGAATCCAGTATGATTTTTTTAATTCAATTAGCGTGCTTTGTACTCCCGAGTGGAGTACTTTCTCATGAGCATACTGCACTAATAATTTGGATATACTACTTTTATTGGACAATAAAATAGGAAATTTCTCATTATCAGATAGATTCATTTCAGAGTAGCGTCCTTCGCATCTCAATAAATTATCTTTGACAATTATTCCTAAAGTTTCTCTTAGCTCATTTTTTGTATTGTTTTGAAGCGAAAATATCAACTGGCGGAAGTGTCTACATTGGTCGCTCTCTAATAATAGGATTTCGGCTGAATTTAGCTCCTTACAAGTTAATCTCCCGTTGACCTTACAATAACGAAACAATTTGCTGAGTCTTTCATACTTGGACTTAGGCGGCTCATCCAATTTATTCCATAAACTTACATATAAGACACGTAGTACGTAGGCAGTTGCCCGTTTCAATCTTATCCAAGAAGAAAATTTTTCTACATTTATTACTGTTAAGAATTCACTCAGGCTCACTTCTTTACTACAAGTTTACATAATGTTAGTTTCAAGTATATCTTTTAATTGTTCTTTCATAATTTCTTGCACCAGCCATTGCTTCTGATCTAGAACTAACCACTTAGGTCCCTTCCACCATTACTCATTTAATTTCAGTTTGCTCAAAGACAATCTTCGAGTAGCTAAATTGGTAAGGTTTTCTGCTGTCCCTACATACTTAAATGATAGATTTTTAGAATTTCTTATCTCTCTAACTCGGTTTTTGATAAATACTGGCAATAATTTGTTAGAAAAAATCCAATTGAGAACGCATTTAGAATCACTCCATATTATAACCTTTGCAAATGAAATTCCTAGTTGCTCAGTTAAAAACTTAGCTATTCCGACGCCTATTAAGAATACCATTAATTCAAGACGAGGGATTGTCATCCCCTTTGTTGGGCAGAGTCTGTTCTTACGAAAGATAAGAGAGGAGTTTATTCTAAAGGTTTTATTATTAAAATAGTCCGCTTTTGCGTCATAACTTTCAAATCTGATGTGGGCTGCAGCAGTGTAAGCTACGGCAGAAGCATCTACAAAAACATGCAACTGCCACTCTCCTTTAGCTTCTTTGTCTCTAACCACTCTAGGGATTTCAATTTCTTTTGTTTTGTTCCAGTCTTTCAGTATTTCTTTCCAGCTCAACTTAATTTCTGTTGGTACCTCTTGATCCCATTTACACCTTTGCTGCCATAGATTTTGAATTAATAGTTTCCCTTTAAGGACCGCTGGGGATAATAGACCTAACAGGTCATAATTCTTTGTCAATCTCTGGAGAGTTCGCCTCTTGTTTACAACAGTATTGCTGTCAGTATCGAGTTCGTTAAGTGTGTCTTCGCATAGTGTCTTCTTGTTTCTTCCACGTGAGACTTAAGATTTTCACTGAATCACCTTCTGGTTGACCCTCCCAGTTGAGGATTTCTTCAACGTCTTCACTGTTCAAATGCCAATCCCTAAGGTTCATCGACGCCCTCGCAAAAACATTCTTTATTGTGGTGTAAATTTGAGATGCTCCTTCCACGTCTGTTGCTTTCGATATGAAATTGTCGACGTACATATCGTTTAGGAGGTCCTGTATTATATCTCCTTGTAGATCTCGACCTTGTCTACGTTCTTCTTCCTCCTCGGCTTTCAGGTGATGAGTAATTGTAGCTGCTAACAGAAAGGGATTCGAAAATACTCCGAATGCTACTCGTTTGAACCGGTAGATCTTCAAATTAGGCTTTTGCACTTCTCCATTTAGATCTTTAATCCACAAAAACCGAGTGACGTCTCGATCTGCCTCATTGAGACCAATTTGTAAGAAGGCCTTCTCGATGTTCGCGATGACTGCTGTTCTATGCATCCTGAATCGTAGCAATACTCCACATAGATTCGGTAGTAATACTGTTCCACGGTAGAGGCATTCATTTAGGCTCTTCAGTTCTTTTCTAGCCTTTGATGAAGCGTCGTAAACTATGCGCACTTTGGTTGACGTCTTCGCTGGAGTTATAAGAGGGTGGCAGATAGTGGACGAGTAATGTTTCCTTTTCTGGTAGTATTTCTTCTATAATTCCTTTGCTTTCTTGTTTTTTAAAAATCCCATCGTACTTAAGAAGAAGTTCCCTATTATCTTTTAAGCGTTTTATAATCGACTCAAGTCTTAGATAGCACAGCCCATAGTCATCCGCCAGATCCGAAATTCCCGTCTTAAATGGCCAACCAACGTAATAACAAGTTTCCTTCTTTGTCAAGGTTGAATAGAACTGCTGAAGGGCCAAGTCGTCGTCTTTCTCCACTGGTGAGTCATTTATTCCTGTTGCTTCGAGACTCCAAAAATCTTCGACATTGGTTGGAGGTTAGCATTTCCTTTCGGTCTCTATGCTCACGGATGTTGACGACAGAATTTTTCCAC